TGTTGAGAAAGTAAAAAATGGAATTGTAGACTACTCTTTGAAGAATTTGGAGGAGAAGAAGGGAAGAGCAACGAAGAGTAAGAGAAGGTAAATTCTGGGTAAAATGAGCCTATTTTATGATAGCAGAAACTCAATTATAATTATAGGCTAAAGCAAGGAGAGAGAGGAGGGATAATTGATGGAAACAAATCTGGCAGAGGTAGCAAGGGATGAGACCAAGTTACGAGTGAAAGATCAACTTTGAAAAGGCTTTCTATGAAACGGGATGAATTGAGGAAGGATGGATATAAAGGTAGATATGTTTCCAGGTAGGAGGTCAGAAAGTTCAGAGAGATTATACCTGATGGCATCAATTTTCTCAGTGGTGTGAGGAGTAAAGATAATCTGCTGAGAATAAGTACAATATGAGGTGAATGGGGGCTTAGAAAAGTTATTGAGATAAATGATAAAGATGCTATCTAAAGATGAATAAAAAGGTTGATTGGTAAAGTTGGGAACTATGAATAGTCAGTAATTTAAATTAAGAAACAAACTAGCTGAGTAAGCACAGTTAAACATTAAAATTCCACAAAAATCAATGTGACTAGTAGAACAACACTTTTCATCATCAAAGAGAAGTTGCCAACCATGCAAGGGTGGATAAGAAGCTAAGAAGGGACTGAAATATGAGGAGAAAATGATAACAACAAAGACTTTATTGTAAAGGTCTTTCATTCCATAAGAGCAAGTAGTGGCTATAAAGAAATAAAAAGTTGAGTATTAGGAGTTTCAAATTTTTGAGGAGGAGCAGGGCTGACAAGATTCAGGATTAGTACTGGGGAATGAGTGAAAATTAAGATAACTAAAGTTAGGGAGATCCAGGCACTGTCTGGGTGTTTAGATGAGCCACTAATATAGATAGACAAATCTTGATTATCACTTGCTTTAAGTTACACAGCTAGTAAACACCAGAGTTAGGATTCCAGCTCAGGCAGTCTGGCTCCAGAGCCTTCGATTTTAACTGCTATGTATCATGAATCTCTATATAAGGATGATGCAATAGTGCTGTGATTTGGACAATGGCAATCAGGAGCAGAAAAAATAGCCCCTGGCCCCTGGTCCTGTTGCTTATGGGAGATGAGAAATGAACTGCTTGCACTGGAGAAAGATGCAGTATCCTTGAGGAAGAGTTACATTCCAGTTAAGTCATTCTGCAAAAATATTGAGGAAATAGGGGAATTTTTCTGCACTGGAGGAAGGGTCCAGAAGAAGCTTTTAAAAAGAGTTGGAAAGAGGGATTTAACAATTATAAGAAAACCCAGGGAAGACTAAGCTATTGTGTTTTCCTGTGAAATTGACAAAGGGGGAAAGAAGAAGAAGAGTAAAGAGGAATGGAGAGAACAGAAAGGCAGGTGCAAGGAAGAAGGGAGAACAAGGCACACAAGCTGGGTGCTGTTCACAGGAACACAGATTTCCAATAAACCAAGACACAAACATAGTTTCTTTATCTAATATCATAAACATCTATTTTTCTATGTCCGAGCTGTTAACCACATCTCAGAACTCTTTTTTCCCTTGGCCCCTGGTTAGCTGGCTCATCAACTGGACAACACTTGCGATCCAACAGTAAGACACAGTTCATACTTTTGAGATTTTGCATATGGTACCTGATAAGTACTTAATAATATTTTTGAATCTGAATCTAAATACCATCTGATTTAACTCTTTGCTTATTCTTTTGTTTGGGGACCTGAAATAAGAAGCTGACAGTGGAGAAGTGGGTAGAAAGTTAGAGAAGAGTAAGGAAAGTAAAGAGGAAGATCGAAGCTGATTGTGACTGATTCGCACCCGACCCTGAAGTGCGCTCTGTTTCCACCAAATGTATGGAACAATTAGACTGAAAGAAAACATCTAAAAAGTAAAGACAGATTTACTCAATAGAGTATTATTCACCACAATATTCCTTAGTTGGAAATGCTGATTTTCAGAAAGAAAATGATTTATTAAGATTGAAATTTGTTCCCTATTCCTAATCAAATGCATATTTACCTGAGATGGAGAAGGACAGTGGAGGTGCAGGGCTAAAAAATTATCATGAGTTTCCAGAAGGTGCATGATGTAGCTTCCCCATCCTCTCCTCTTCTCTTATAGAAGTTCCATTGGAGCCATTTTCTTCCTTTGATTTTGGTAACAGAAATTCTCCTTATTTTGAGGGAGCTATTTCATGAAATTTAGGTGGAGCAAACTTTTCCCCTCAAAGGCAGGCACGTGGCCCAGCCTGGCTAATCAGAGCTCTGCAGTCCCTTGCCCACAGGGATTGGCTCAACAGTCAAGTAACCTAAGAAGAGCCACTCAGAACCTCCTCAGGACTTTGCTGAGAAAATGAGAAAGAGGGATCCTCTTTTCTCTGGGATTGCTGACTTAAGAGTGATATGAATCTAGAGCTACTGGTGGTCATTTAGAGAATGGAGAATATTTTAGAGTGTTAAAAGAATAAGGTGAAAATACAAAGAGATAGAAAATGAGGCAGGAAAGATAGGCAGGAGTTTGACTGATTGTATAGCATTTATGTGACAAGCAGAGAGACTGGACATTCCTCCTGTAGGCGAAAGGATGCCAATGATGGTTTATGCAGGTTTGGTGGCACGGGAGTCTGGAACTGTAGTCTGCCCACTTTTTTTAGAAAATAATTGTGCCATTAGCATAGAGATAGATAGCAGTGTGAAGAGACAGAGGAAACAGTCCAGTTGAATGACTATAGCAATTTTCCCTCAATAAATAATCACGGTATGGACTGTGGTATTAACAATAGGACTAGACAGAGTCAAGACTACACTTGTGATAGAATTAGTAGGGTTTTAGTGATCCAACGGATATTAAATTTGACAGACAGGGAAGAATCAAGGACCACTCACAATTTTCTGGCTTAGGACATTGTAAGGACATAAACCATGAACAGAAAAAGGCTTTGAAAGGACCTGAGGACTATAATGAATTTGGATAAGTTAAGCTAAGAAAGTCTGTATTATCCACATGAAGAAGTCCTGAAAGTATTATGAAAGCATTATAAGTCTGAAGCTCAGGCACAAGGTTAGCGTGGAATTACGGAAGTGGGAGTCATCAGCATATGGATGCTAAGTAAAGTTACTGTATATATGAGATAGCCCAGGAAGAATGGGTGGCATAAGAAGAGAAGATTGACAGAGGAATGAGAAGAAACTGCTACACAGGATGAAGAAAATCAAAGAGAGAGTGTTGGTGACATGGAAACCTAGAAAGAGAAAGAGTTTCCATAGCTGTTGGGAGGTCAAGGAATTTAAGGATTAAACAGGATCCATTAACTTTGTCACTTAAGATGTTACCTTGACCTTAGAGTGACTTTCAGTGCAGTGATAGGGTGAAAGTCAAATTACATGGGGTTAAGAAGTGAATTAGAGGTGAAGGAAAGTTAAAGAGTATAGGCTATTAAGGTTTAGATCTGTATCACCTGGTCATGTCCAGGACCTTCTTACTCCAACAGAGGTCTCAAAGTGAAAAGCAGACCTATCTGGAAGAGATGCATTTAGAAGACACTGCCAGATTCTGTCCAAAGGAAGAAAGAGAAAGCAAACAAACATCTTTCAGAGATCAAAACCTCAGGCAAGACCAAAAAGGGGCTTTCAAAACTCCTTCCAGAAGCACTTTAAAAAGGGAAATGGGAATGCAACTGGTGAAGATTTGTGTGGTCCTTGGGACTGATGGTGACATCAAACTTTTCCTGTTTCCAGGTAAACATGAAATAGGTGCATGTTGGAACCATGAAAATATGACATGTTAGGTTTTGGAGAGATCAAATGAAGATAAGAGGGGAAATGTGAGGTCCAGTGGATCAGAATATAGGAAAAAAAACTAATGAGAATCACTCAATGGATCCTCTACCTACTAAACAAGATTTCTTCAGAAACTGACTTGCACTTGCAAGTCCAACTTGGTTCCTTCTTGACCAAGGAACAGCTGTGTAAAACATACTTAAAGTTGTATTGTCAAGTGGTAATATGAGGATAAAAAGTTTGTATACATCTGTGTAGGAATGTATATATATACTGATGTATAAATCCCAAAGGAAAACTAATATAAATACTTATATATGAAACCACATCAACATAAAAGACATTGAAGAGATGAAGATTAGTCTATGGTTGAGACCTAGTTTTTTGAACTTGAACACTTGGGAAAAGAGAAATGAAGATGTTTTACAGCATTACAGAAAAACACAATAAATATGGAGGGAAATAATTGTTTGTAAGATGAAGAAGAACAACAAGACAGATCTGGATGAAAATCAAGGTAGTATATAGAGGAGAATAAGAATGTGGAAGGAAGTTGGTGCCAAGGTGGTGGCAGAGGCAGACTCTGAACTCACCTCCTCCCATGAACACAACCAAGCTACAATTAATCTTGGAACAATTACCTCGGAGAGAGAACTGAAATGTGCACAAAAAGAACCCCTGTAAAAAGAAACAGTCCTGACTGAGGTGGAAGAAGCAGACATTACTTCTTAAAGAAAAAAGTCACCTTCACAAGCCACAGCACTTCACAGCTGGCCAGGAGCAATGCTAAGGTACACAGCCTTCCCTGGAGGAGTGGGTTACCTGAACAGGGGAGCATTACTGCTATAAGAATCCCTCAGACTCAGCACAACTGAGACAAGTGTCATAATATCTGGCTTTGCTGGCTATTAACTACACTAGGGAATGCCACTAGAAAGGCTATCAGACATAAGCAGAAAAAAGCTGGCTCTTAAAGGGCCCCCACACAAATTCACTCATTTTGGAAAGTGACCAAAATCACCAGAAAGAAAGGTGCACAGTCCTTTGGTGAAAAGAGACTCCCCTGATAAGCTCTGGGAGCATCTTGGTGAGGGGTGAGACCTCTCTAGGGACTGAGACATTGGTGGCAGCTACTATTGTGATGTAGTACAGGTGTGCTGACACAGACACTGGCAGACTCCATTGGAGTTCTTCCCCTAGCCTGTTAGCAGGGTCTGCCCTGCCCACTAGAGCATGGATTTAATTCAGCTCAGCCAGAGAAGGCAGCCTGCCCTAGGGACTGGCCCTACCCAACAGCAAGCCCTAAAGGCAACTTTTCCACCTTCATAGATGGGGTCCCTGGCAGGTAAATGGGTCTGCCTCTGCAGAGCAGGGTATACTTGAGGAGCCATGGAGTGGTTGGGGTGCTGCTGGGGTGTGTGAGGGCCTCTGCAGTAGGGTGACTGGGTACGCTTCAGGGGGCTGGGATGTGTGCATAAGCCAGGACTGTGTTGATGATGTGTGGACTTGTGGGGCAGCTTGTCAGCAACAGAAGACCTGTGCTTCACACACAGCCACATAGGGGATTGACCATGACTACCAAAGCCTGAAACAACTGGGTACTCCCATGCCTGGGGCCAGCCCCACTCAGCCACAACCCTGAGAGAGATGACAACAGTCTTGCAGGCCAGAGACCTACAGCAATTGTAAGCCCCTGAGCCTAGCAACCAGCCACATTGGGGGCCTACTCATTGAACAGAAAACAGCAGGAGGAATGTGCTATTGGACCTTTTAGCCAACTGTGCTGGGGCTCCCCAAACCCGATAAAATGACTGAAGGGCAATAGCAGACACATGAATCTGAGCATTATAAGCAGCAGACCAGGGGAACAGCCTAGACTCCCTGGGTATCTGCAGCAAGAGAAATCCTGCCACAACAGAAGGACACATGTAGCCCACACAGGGGTCACTCCTGGAACATTTGGAACTGGTGATGAGAGGGAAGCACACTACTGGGCCTCAAAGGCATCTCTTACATAAGGCCACTTCTCGAAGATCAGAAGACATAGCTAACCCACATAATACACAGATATAAGCACAGAAAAGGAGGCAAAAAGGGAGGCAAAGGAATACATTCCAAGCAAGGGAACAGGACAAAACTCGAGAAAAAGAACTAAACGAAGCAGAAATAAATAATCTGCCTGAAAGAGTTCAAACAAAAAGTCATAAGGATGCTCACTGATCTTTGGAGAAGACTAGATGAACACAGTGAGAACATCAACAAAAAATTGGAAAATATAAAAAAGAACCAGTCAGAAATGAAGAATACAATACTGGAAATGAAAAACTCACTAGAGGGATGCAATAGCAGAGTAGAAGATACGGAAGAATGGATCAGTGAGCTGGAAGGAAGACTAGAGGAAATCACTCAAGCTGAACAGATAAAAGGAAAAAGAATGAAAAAGAACAAGGACAGTCTAAGGGAGCTCTGGGACAACATCAAGTGTGCTAACATTCATAGTATTGGTATCCCAGAAGGAGAAGAGAGAGACAAAGGGGCAGAGAATCTATGTGAAGAAATAATAGCTGAAAATTTTCCTAACGTAAGGAAGAAAACAGACATACAGGTACAGGGAGCACAGAGAGCACCAAAAAAGATAAACTCGAAGAGGCCCACACCAAGACACATTATAATTAAAAAGTCAAGAATTAAAGATAAAGAGAGAATCCTAAAAGTCACAAGAGAAAGGCAACAAGTGACATACAAAGGAAACCCCATAAGGCTGTCAGCTGACTTCACAGCAGAAACCTTACAGGCTAGCAGGGAGTGCCAGGAGATATTTAAAGCGTTGAAAGGAAAAACCTACAGCCAAGAATACGCTATTCAATGAGGTTATCATTCAGAATGAAAGGAGAGATACAGTTTCCCAGACAAGCAAAAATTAAAGGAGTTTATCATCAAGAAAACAGTTTTACAGGAAGTGTTAAAGGGACTTATTTAAGTGGGAAAGAGTAGACCACTCATAGGAATAAGAAAATTATCAAAAACAAACAAACAAAAAAGAGGCAATAGAATCACTGGTAAAGGCAAAAATACTGTAAAGGTAGCAGATCAACTACCTGTGAAGATAATATGGAGGTCAAAAGACAAAAGTACTAAAATTACCTATTTCAATGATAAGAGAGTAATGGATACACACAAACAAAATAAGACGTTAGATATGACATCCAAAATGTAAAACGTGGGAGAGGGGAGCAAAAGAGTAGAGTTTTCATAAAGAGGTCAAACTAAAGAGACCACCAACTCAACATAGATTGCTAAATATATAGATTATTATATATGAACCTCATGGTACTCACAAATCAGAAACCTATAATAAACACAGAAAAAAATGAAGAGACTTGAACCCAAACATAATACAAAAGAAAGTTGTCAAGCCACAAGGGAAGAGAGCAAGAGAAGAAAGGAACAGAGAAGAACTACTATGCCCAGAAGAAAAAATAATAAAATGCCAATAAGTACATACTTATCAACAGCTACTTTAAATGTCAATGGATTAAATGCTCCAATCAAAAGACAAAGGGTGGCTGATGGGATTAAAAAACAAGATCCATATATATGCTGCATAAAAGAGACACAATTCAGACTTAAAGACACTCACAAACTGAAAGTGAAAGGATGGAAAAAGATATTCCACGCAAATGGCAATGAAAAGAAAGTGGGAGTAGCAATACTTATATCCGACAAAATAGGCCTTAAAACAAAAATGGTAACAAGAGACAAAGAAGGGCACTACATAATGATAAAGGGAACAATCCAACAAGAGGATATAACACTTGTAAATATCTATGCACCCAAGAAAGGAGCACCTAAACATATAAAGCAATTATTAACAAACATAAAAGAAGAAATAGACAGTAATGCAATAATAGCAGGGGATTTTAACACTCCGCTTACACCAATGGATAGATCATCCAAACAGAAGATCAATAAGGAAATATTGGCCTTAAATGACACATTAGATCAGAGGGACTTAGTAGATATATATAGAACATTCCATCCAAAAACTGCAGAATATAAATTCTTTTCAAATGCATGTGGAACATTCTCCAAGATTGATTACATATTTGGCCACAAAACAAGTCTCAATAAATTTAAGAAGATCGAAATAATACCAAGCATCTTTTCTGACTACAAGATTATGAAACTAGAAAGCAGCTACAGGAAGAAAATCAGAAAAGCCACAAATATTTGGAGATTAGACAAAATGCTACTGTACAACAACTGAGTCTATGAAAAAATCAAAGGAGAAATAAAAAAATACCTGAGACAAATGAAAATGAAAATACAACATGCTAAAATCTATGGGATACAGTAAAAGCCACTCTAAGTGGGAAGTTTATAGAAATTCAGGCCTATCTCAACAAACAAGAAAAATCCCAGATAAACAATCTAACAGTGCACCTAAAGGAACTGGAAAAAGAAGAACAAACAAAGCCCAAAATGAGTAGGAGAAGGAAATAACAAAAACCAGAGCAGAAATAAATGAAAGAGACTAAAAACAAATATAAAAATCAATGAAACCAAGAGCTGGTTCTTTGAAAAAATAAACAAAATTGACAAACCTTTAGCCAGACTCAGAAAGAAAAAAGGGGAGAAAGCTCAAATAAATAAAATCGGAAATGAAAGAGGAGAAATTACGACACCTCAGAAATACAAAAGATTATAAAAGAATACTATGAAAAGCTATATGCCAACAAATTGGATAATCCAGAAGAAATGGACAAATTCTTAGAATGTACAACCTTCCAAAACTGAATCAAGAAGAAATAGAGAATTTGAATAGACCAATCATGAGTAAGGAGATCAAAACAGTAATCAAAAACCTGCCAAAAAATGAGGCCAGGACCAGATGGCCTCCCTGGTGAATTCTACCAAACATTCAAAGAAGACTTTATCCTATCCTTCTCAAATTCTTCCAAAAAATTGAAGAGGAGGGGAAGCTTCCTAACTCGTTCTATGAAGCCAACATTACCCTAATAGCAATAACTGACAAGAACATCAGAAAAAAAGAAAATTACAGGCCAATATCACTGATGAACATTGATGCAAAAATCCTCAACACAATACTAGCAAATCAAATGCAACAATACATTAAAAAGATCATACACCATGATCAAATGGGGTTCATTTCAGTGATGCAGGGATGGTTCAACTTCTGCATGAATCAACATGATACACCAAATTAACAAAATGAAGAATAAAAATCACATGATTATGTCAATAGATGCAGAGAAAGCATTTGACAAGATACAGTATCCATTTATGATAAAAACTCTGAATAAAATGGATCTAGAAGGACAGTACCTCAACATAATAAAGGCCATATATGACAAACCCACAGCTAATATCATTCTCAATGGAGAAAAACTGAAAGCTATCCCTCTAAGAACAGGAACCAGATAAGGATGCCTGCGTTCACCACTCTTACTTAACACAGTACTGGAAGTCTTAGCCAGAGAAATCAGGTAAGAAAAAGAAATAAAAGGGATGCAAATTGGAAAGGAAGAAGCGAAACTGTCACTATGTACAGATGACAAGATTTCATATATAGAAAACCCTAAATAATCCACCAAAAAACTTTTAGAAATAATAAATGAATATGGTCAAGTTGCAGGATACAAAATCAACATACAAAAATCGGTTGCATTTCTATACACTAACAACAAAGTAGCAGAAAGAGAAATTAAGAATACAATCCCATTTATAATTGCAACAAGAATAAAATGTCTAGGACTAAACTTAGCCTAAGAGTTGAAAGATCCGTACACTGAAAACAGTGAAACACTCTTGAAAGAAATTGAAGACGACACAAAGAAATGGAAAGATATCCCATGCTCTTGGATTGGAAGAATTAACATAGTTAAAATGTCCGTACTTCCTAAAACAATCTACAGATTCAATGCAATCTCTGTCAAAGTTCCAACAATATTTTTCACAGAAATAGAACAAAGAATCCTAAAATTTATATGGAACAACAAAGGACTCCAAATAGCCAAGGGATTCCTGAGAGAAAAGAACAAAGCTGGAGGTACCACACTCCATGATTTCAAAATATACTACAAAGCTACTACAAAACAGTATGGTACAGGGATGAAAACAAACACACAGGTCAATGGAACAGAACTGAGAGCCCAGAAATAAACCCACATGCCTATGGACAGCAAATTTTTGACAAGGGAGCCTAGAACATGCTATGGAAAAAGGAAAGTCTCTTCCATAAATGGTGTTGGGAATACCGGACAGTCAAACACCCTATCTCAGATTTATGCACACATCATAGAATTTCAGTGAAACCATGAGCGAGTATTGCAGCAGATAATTTTAAACACTCAATTCTTTACAACACAGGGGATGCTCCATTTACATTTTCATTCTTTTACAGTTACATTTTACATGTCTTTTAAAATCAGATCTTCTGCCTAGGACTATTAGTATCCATCTTTAATCTCAAGACTAGAATTTTAATTTACATTTTTGCACTCTAATCATTTTTGTCTTTGTAATTAAATCTAGGAAGAATCAAAGTGCTTCACTCCTGAAATCTATGGTAGACATTTATTCTATTAATGGATAATATTTTTGGTTGGGCTTTGCTGATCAGTTTAGATCTCAGGTAAATCCTATTTTCTTTTACTAATCCTTTCCTTTAAACGTTTTCTTTCACTTTAATTTCCATAAATATTTATTTGAATGATATGTATGCTTTCTGCTTCAGGTATAATATATATGATGGTATATACACACAAATGTATACATGTGATGGAATGAATCGTATATGAAATAATCTTGGCTACATCATGTAAAAAATATTATTCCTGACGTTTCCTTTAAATTGAAATGGAATTTATCTTTGTAGCAACTTAAATATTGGGTTACACTATATTGACATATAATGACAGTTCAGTAAATTATGTTGTTTAAAATTGACATAAATTTAAGGAAAATAGATGTGAATATGAAATTAACAAATATGTATGTCTTAAAGACAGTTTGCACACATCACGTGTGTTCAGTTAGGATTTTATTAACTAACACAAACAATATTGCTTCTCTTAGTTTGTTTTTCAAAAAAGTCAACAGACGCACCTTTAAAGTTCACCTACTGATGTAAACACAAATAATGTTTTGTGCCTGGCATAAATCCACAAGATATAATTCAGATACAGTAAATTTATGTCAAATGACAGTCACATAGATCATTGGCCAAAAAGAACATCAATACAAGAAAGAAAGAAAACCCAATACTGAAACTGACGTCTATTGAAACAATCTTATCTAAATTGCACAAACAAAGATTAGTCTACAGTGTGCACTTTACATAAGAAGTTAAAGTCATCCCTAATCTAACCAACAATGAAAGAGCTCTTGACTGAGGCTGTGCTTTGTTCCTACTCTCCTTTCCTTCTCAGCTCCCTTGTGCCTGAACACACAAGAAATCGTTAATAGAAAGAAAGAAAAAGCAAAGAATATTTAATGTTTAGGAGACTGAAATGATGGGTAAGCACTGGAGGGCTCCCCTAAAGTTAGCTTGATGCTGGTGGTTTAATCTCAGAATAGATCCTATGGGGACAGGATTAAACAGAAGTATACATGGTTACAAAATATAAGAAAAAACTAAATGCTTTTATAATTGTGCTTTTAAAAGCACAAAAACACCACATAATTACGTTTCCTTAGAATAAAGAAGAAATAAGGAGATTGAATTCAAAATACACATGAGAATTCTGGAACAACTTGGACTGGTGATCTTAAAATCCAAGAGTTGTCTTTGTTCTTTAATTGACTCCTTCACGGATGAGGGAAAGCCCAGCCTCTCATCCCTGCTGTTTGACACCTCCATGAGCTTTTGTGCCTTTTAGCAATGTTCTTACAGTGCTGGCAGAAAAACTGAGCAAGACTCAGTTAAAGAATAAACTAAATTCTGCGTCCCCTCTCCCACGGATCAGCAATGGATGCATACACAATGAAAGTGGCTTGGGGTCTAAATCAATGACGCTGCTTCCAATTAATATCCCTCACTCTTTATATTGATCCTCATTGAAAAACAGATGTAGCTTCCTTTTCCTTGCTTCAGTCCTTAGATTTTAGGGTGGGTCTAAGGTAGAGATTTTGATAAACAGCAGGAAAAAGACAGTGAGTTGTCAAGGCAGAGATGTGGTTTTGCCTTACAGTAAAGACCAGGCAGCCTAGAGCTCCAGGGTTTATTTGCATACAGCCTTTTTGTCCTTTATGGCTCTTGACAACTTGCATGTCCTTTCCTTGGCATAATCTGTTTGTTTCCAGTAACAAACAGAACAACAATTTATGGTTCTGATAAAGAAGGATTTAATTTAAGCTCTTTAAAGATGAATAGGATTACATTATTTTTAAGCAGTATAAACTTCTGGTGAAGAATAAAAAGGTTTCCTCCTCAAAGAAATCATCTTGCATATAGGAGAAAATTCTAGTTTGATTGTAAGACCTAGTATAACTAAAATAAGTATAGGGCTCTATAGTTTACAAGCATTTTTACATACATAATCAAATTTAATTTTTACAATAACGTTATAACTTAGTTAAGGCTACTATTATTATCCCTATTTCATAGAAGAGAAAACTGAGGTCCAGAGAGATTAAGGAAGCTGCTAAAGACCATTGGGCTGGTAAGTGCATAGCATGAATTTAGGGACTCAAACCCAGATCTCTGTCTTCAAGTCAGTGCTCTTCCACTATATTATGATGTCTCCTAAAATGACCTACTTCATCCCATTTTAATTAATATGATCTCTTTTAATTCATATGATTCTTTTTTTCTCTAAATGGAAAACATAGAAGTTCCTTTAAGAGAAGCAAAGCTCTGGTCTACCTTTTTAAAAAACTTCTCCTGTGGAGCTTTATATTGGGGGCCCTGTGGAATGTAATATACAACATCCTCAACAACATCAGTTTTGTGAATGATTTATCAAGTTTTGTAAGTTGCTTTAGACCCTTGATTAAATCTAGGGACTTGCTGTCGAAGGGCAACTCAAAAATGAATGTGAAGAGGAGTCAAGACAATATTATCCAAGTAGGGAGCTTTCTATCAAGCATACTTAGTCCGAAGATAAGACCCTAGACTAGTCTGAGAGTATGGCTATTTTATCTTTGTGATATTTGTAGCAGGACAATTGATCTTAAGAGACAGAAATTAAACTCAAACCATTTAGCAAAAAGGGAATTTATCGGCTTAAGTAGGCAAATTGTGTAAGGGTCAGGAATGTCTGGAACTGAGGACTTGACTGTCATAATGACTTTCTCTCTCTCCCTTTATCCATATTTGTCTCTGCATCTCTCTACATGCTGGCTTCACTCTCTGAGACTGATTTCTTCTCATACGGGGGACATAGCTACAAACAGCTTTGGAGCTCATAGTCTCAAATGCTCCTTTCTGAGAGAAGAAAGAACTCGAAGCAAGATTCACCACTCTGTTTTTAAAAGATGGGGAAGAATCCCTATTTGACCTAGATTTTGTCACATACCCATTGCCAAGACAAATCACCATGAGAGAGCATTTAACTACCAGAATTGGTCCAGTTTGAATCAGGTGATCACCTCTGGACAAATGATTAAAGTCAGGAGACGGAGTGATACAAAATGATGGCAATTCCTTTTTGAATCCTAGAGTTTCTGATGTTGGGGGTGGAGTAGAAGTTTTCTTCCTCTTCCAAATGGAGGAAGGAATTATGGGTAAAAGAAACAATGGATGTGTTTGTCAATTATACTTCAATAAAAAGTGTTTTTTAAAAATTAAAAAAACAGAAACAATGAATGTTTCACTACAAGCCTTAACAATATCGCCAAATAGTTTCTCCTCAGCTATGTTCATGTGGAACAAACATGTTATTTGTTCCAACTTTTTTAGCTTTACTTTCCTTGATTTAGGGAACATATTTGTTTATTAATTTCACCCCTTTTATTGATCCCAAAGAGATCTAGGGTTCTCTAAAGATAATTTTCCCTCAGAAAACAGTAAATCTTGACCTAAAAGCCAGTTTACTTTAGGATTTAAAAGAATAGACTGTACAGTGAGACTGGCCAGGTTCAACACCTGGCTGTCCACTTGCCGGGTATGTGGCCTCTGTCACGTTATTTAACCTCTCAGTGCTTCAACCGTCTCATCTGTGAAATGGAGAAATTTGGAAGTACCTACCTCAGAGGATTGTTAGAGGATTATGTGAGATCACACCGTAAGGTTGTCAGAACCATGGTACACAGTAAGTCCTCAATATATCCTCATTACTGCTATTATTATTAGAAGGAGAGTTAAAGCCCCAACTTCTTCCTTGGGGCAGAACTTGACATTGATGAATTTTTTCTTCTTAGTGATGCCCGGCTTTCTAGGTCATGATATCTAAGGGCCAATGCCATTGTGAGGTGATACAAACTTGAGGAAAATTATACTGTGTGCTCAAATCTCCACTTCATCCCCAATATTGTTAGGCAGTTAAAATTTTATCGCAGTTGAGGGAGACAGAGATTATATTTGTATTAGTCATTGGCCACTTTTTCATCTTCTGAAAAAAACACTTTTTCTCTGCTGGCCACCTCCCTGAATTGCTGTCCAGGTGTGCTCAATGTGGTTAACAGCCTGTCTGGTCTCCAGTCTCACTTCTTCTCAATAAAATAAATGTAGACTATCAGTAATCAACTTCAAATATGGTTTTGATCCTGTTCCTAAACTCAAAATCCAGTAGTTTTAAAATTACTCATTTCATAAAAATAACATGAACTTTAACATGTGTCAGTAATTAGCCAACTCTAGTCAATACCCTCTGCTTTCATTTTCAAGTTCTTCTGAATTCTCCCGTTTTGCCAGATAAACGCATTTGCTTCTTCTGCTGTTACTACTCTTGCTTCTACCTTCAGTCCACTCCTACAGGAGATGCTGATATTTACAATATATAAATTATGTACCAAGCACTGTCCTAAGCACTTTATATACGTTTCATTGAAATCTCACTACAATTCCACAAAGTAAGCATTATTTCTCCCGTTTTATGGAGGCTCAGAGGGGTTAGGTGACTTTGCAAAAGTCGTAGATAGCAATTGGAAAGTCCAGAAGGCAAAATGCATCCGTTTGTTTCTACAGTCCATGCTGCATGTATGCACATATCTGATTACATGAAAGACAAGCCTATCACATTTGCAAGTGACGTAAATCCAGGTGGTCTGCCTAATCTATTGATGACTAAATAAAAAATTTTATAGGCTGCAGTGAAGGGTGAAACAAATGGATGCAATGAAATAGGCCTAAATGTAAAGTCCTACACCGAAATTAAAAAAAAAAATTGGCTACACATAAGTAAGACATAGAAGACTTAACTTAATCGTACAAAGTGTTTCTCAAAAATGCCCTATTTTATCTGAGTGAAAGTTCAATGTAAGTCAACAACATAACTAAGATCTTAAGAAAGCCAATGTAAATGTTGACTACTTTAACAGCATACCACTTAGGTCAATAAAGTCAACAAAAGTAAAACTCCATTGTGCCATGCGGAATTATGACTAATTCTGGGTGCTCCACTTTACAAAGGACACCGAGAAACTTAAGATGTGCAAAAGACTACAGTAAGGGATCAAGAAATGATATCAAACAGGGATTTGTTGCTCTACGGAAGAGAAGATTGGGAAACGAAGGATGCAGAGGAGACGTTTGACGGGTGTCTTTCAACTTTTGGAAAGTAGACTTTGTGTTATTTTATAGAACAGAAAAAATCTAATAGGCACAAATTATAGTCAATTTCAGCCCATTATGAATATCAATTTAATACAGTGCTCAACACAGGAAAAGGATGCCTTACAAAATAATAAGCTCTGATTATTCATTTGCTTTGACAATATCTGTTCAAGGGAAGGCTGTGGGTGACTATTTTAAATGATTCTGTCAAAAGAATTATTGAAAACCACCCAGAAGATGGACTTATACCAGGAAATTGAACCTAAGGATTTCTACATAGCCTTCCCAACTTTAAGAAAGTAAAAAATTGTTCTTTCTTGCCCAATTGTATTTCCCCATGATAAATTCTATTAACAATGTTATACTCATTCCTCCTCCTTATATAACATCCTTTTTCGCAATCACAATTCTATGAAACAGTAGTATTTCTGTAAAATTGTTATAAGCTGTCTCAACCAGTATTTATCTTTGATTCTCATCAATGTCACCAAGTCTTTCTTTTATAATTTTGACCCTGGGTGTACCTCTCATTCAAAGCGTAATTTGTTGCAAAGTTTCTATAACTTGGATTGAAAAAGATTTGAGAATGAGTGTTAACTTGTAAACTATAAAGTTCTAGCAAACAACTGATTGCTTGTATTAATGTTAATGTTTTTATGTATTTGCCTTTCTTATCCCTCAACTATTAGATGCTAAGTTTGTGGGAAGTGATAGCTTCATTTTAAAATGAATCAAACAATCTATAAAATATATTTTATTCACCTTAAAAATCTTTTTATTAAATAAAAGCCATGAATGTGCAAGTCATGGAAACACCCCAAATTAATCCCAAGTTTTTAGAAAATATTTACTTTTGGAAATATTTCTCTCAGATTTGTTTTGTCAGTTAAACAGAAAATATATTCCCTTGAAAAGTTCTTCTACAAATTTTTCTTACAAATTCTTGCATATTTTGAAGTTAGTGTTTGTAATAGAGGAAAATGTTTGCATAGTGAGAAGTAGTTAGTTTCTAATGCTCCATATCTTGTTCACGGAAAACATAGGGATGAACTATTTTGAGTACTTCTGAAAGCTGGAGGTTAATGTTTAAAATTACTGAAGAGAAGGTGGAGCTTTTTTCCAAAGCCATAAAAAGGAACAATTGTGATGACACACCACAGTATGCATTTTATACTGTTGAAGGATGGCAGCTTTGCTTTTGGCTCCCTGCCCCAGAGGCCTGGCACACCCGGGAAGCATTGTAAAAGCTGCCTCACGTACACCCTGGCGTGTGTGTGCCCACGTTTACAGCCAGCAATAAGTTTAAAAGAACATACAGTACCTACTGGGAAGCTTTTTCAGAAGACAAGACGTAAACCAATAAGAGCACAGACCTTTTGTATAATACTATTTCTAATAAGTGAATAAATAACAATCTTGTTTTGAAATGTTTAACCAAATAGTGATTATAAACCCTTTTGGATCCTTTATTGAAATATTTACTCTAAACATATTATGATGATGCTGATATCATAAAGATTCGAGTATCTGGGTGAATAGTCATACAATCTTCTTAAAAATGGTTTTCCACTACTTTTCAGTCAGAGTCATTCAATTGCCACATGTAGTACCACATTTTCCAAATAAGAGCGAGAAAGTTGCTCCCTTTTGGAGGTACAATGTTGTACCAACTGCAGTAGAATTGCTAATTCTCCTTATAGTTAATATTTTTCTCAATCAAGATGCTATAAAACACGTTAAATTCCTCAAATTATATGAAAATAAACAACCCTGTAAATACTAGCAGTAATTTTGGCATTTGATTTGACTTCATAAATAAAAGACAAGAAATCTGATTATCTTGAACTAGTTTTTATTCTTTAACAACCGAGTGAACCATGTACAACATTCATGAGAATGAACCCATCCATCGGGGTAGATCCAGGCTTTGTGCAGCCTTCAATTTGCAGAGTCTGGTGGGGTTGGGAGTTGCCTCTTTAAAAACATCAATACAAAATTAGATAAGAAAGTGATTAATTGGAATTAAAAAATCACAATAAATGACTGGAGACTTAGTGATTTAGCATATTGTCTTCTAAGATGTCCTTAGGCAATTTATCGGAAAAGTTTACATGGAAATGCTCCGTGATTGCAACATGGCTTTCCTTCCCCACCTGGAACTCTCCACAACTCCCAGCAACTCCAAGTGCTCAAGGCACCCGTGCAAGAGAGGGGCCCTGAAGCTTGAGCCTTGTTAGTTTCATGGTAACCCTGCCTCTGCTGTTATATACAACACTGGTGGAAACAAGTGGTAAGAAATATTACCCCGCCCCCTTCAGGGTTAATATTTCTTGGTTCAACTGAAGAGTGTTGGCAAAAGTTGGATCAAGGTTAAGAGCCCACTCTTAGAGGGAAATTATTAAAATGTTTTTCTTTTACAATCTTGACTATGTTTCACTCCCTTGCATCCTATTGACTGAGAGAGATTAACATACAGAAATGGGGGCAATCCACCTTTCCAGGGACTCTGACTCTAAAGCAGAATATGAACTAGGAATCTTAGAAGCATTTTTACTCTCAAGTCATCCACAGTGAACACGTTCATGTGTAATTTCATAATTATAATAGCAACACAATACACATAATTCGTGGTTTATAATTCCTGTCAATGAATCCTCTAAGAAACCAGATGCCATTTGGGTGCTACAGATACATTAGAAAGACTAAACCTCACAGGACTGGAGCCCACCCTAAGGAGTCAGATGATTTAGCTTTTTACCATTGGGAAGGTTTGGAGGGGTCCAAGATTGAACCATAGGAGTAATAGGAAGTTTGAATGTGTAGGGCTTGGTCCAATTGTAGCAACTTTAGCTTCACTCTGAGTAAAAACAAACAAAAAAAAGAAACAAACACTAGAGGGTTTTGGGGCAGAGGAATGGCGTGATATGATTTATGTTTCAAAAAGTATCACTCTGCTGCTATGTTGAGAGTAGACAATAGGAGGCAAGGGCAAAGCCAGGGAGAGGTTACTACTGGTTATTACTATAATTCAGATGACAGGTGATGGCAGTGGTTA